ACACCACTCAGTATGGCCCAAAGTAAAACACTCAAGAAATACCTAATACCAATAGCTCACGCCTGTAATCCTAGCTACTCAGGAGGCTGAGATCTGGGGATCACGGTTCAAAGCTAGCCCCAGCAGAAAAGTCTGTGAGACTAATCTCCAATAAACCATCAGAAAACCAGAAGTGGTCCTGTGGCTCAAGTGGCAGAGTGCTAGCCTTGAGCTAAAGAGCTGAGGGACAGCGCCCAGGCCCAGAGTTCAAGCCCCGCAACCTACAACAACAACAAAAAAAGTACCTTCAGCTTGGTGAATGTAGTTCCACAATATAGTAATGCCTACACTTCTGTTAAAAAATCTGGAAATGGGCTGGGAAGGTGGCTTAGTGGTAGAGCGCTTGCCTTGCATGCCCGAGGTCCTGGGTTCAATTCCTCAGCACCACATAAGCGAAAAGAAAAAAGCCAGGAGTGGTGCTGTGGCTCAAGTGGTAGAGCGCTAGCCTTGAGCTGAAGAGCTGAGGGACAGCACCCAGGCCCAGAGGTCAGACCCCACGACCGGACCCCCCCCCCAAAAAAAATCTGGAAACAATGGGCTGGGAGGTGGCTCAGTGGTAGAGTGCTTGCCTTGCATACATGAGGCCCTGGGTTTGATTCCTTAGCACCACATAAGCAGAAAAACCCAGGAGTGGTGCTGTGGCTCAAGTGTTAGCGCTCTAGCCTTGAGCTGAAGACCTGAGGGACAGCCCCAAGCCCCAGAGTTCAGGCCCTATGGCCAACCCCACCACCCCAACCCCCCCTCTCCCCCTCCCCCCCCTCCAAAAAAAAATCAGGAAACAGTCTGGCACCAGTGGCTTAGACCTGTAATCCATGCTACTCAGGAGGCTGAGATCTGAGGATCATGGTTCCGAAGCCAGTTAGTTCATGAACTAAGGTCTGTGAGACTTATCTCCAACAAACCACAGAAAAATCCAGAAGTGACGCTGTGACTCCAGTGGTAGAATGCTAGCCTTGAGCACAAAGAGGCTCAGGGATAGCACCTAGGCCCTGAGTTTAAGCCTCCGGACCAGCAAAACAAAAAAACAAGAACAAAAAAACCGAACTGGAAACACTATGACAGAACTTTGAACAGTAGTGACAATCCTATTGGCCCCTCTTCAGTGCCAACTTTTCCATACTCCCTTGTCTGTACTTGTATATATGTAATATAAGTGGAGGTGAGGAAAGAATATCACAGCTCCACTTCTACTGTTTTGGTGGCTAATTAGAGATAAGAGTCTCATGGACTTTCATACCCAAGCTGGCTTCAAACCTTGATCTTCAGATTTCAGCCTCCCAAGTAGCTAGTATTATAGGCATGAGCCACTGTCTCAACAATTTTAGCCTTAAGAAAGAAATATGTAAGGGGTTATGTTACAGTTTAATTATTATTTAACATGGTGCCTAGGAATACATAGTGCCAGTATATATGTAAGTTGTCTTTAAAAAAAAATCTGCTACAGTGTTTTATGTAATGTATATATCACCATTTGTTTATCCATTGTCCTTTTTTTTTTTTTTTTGCCAGTCCTGGAGCTTGAATTCAGGCCTAGGTACTGGCCCTGAGCTTCTTTTGCCAAGGCTAGCCTTTACCACTTGAGCCACAGAGCCACTTCTAGCTTTTTCTGTTTATGTGGTGCTGAGGAATCGAACCCAGGGCTTCATGCGTGCTAGGTAAGCACTCTACCACTGAGCCACATTCCCAGCCCCAGTTGCCCTAATTTTAAAATCACAAATATCTTTTGGAGTGACTAATACTTGAAAAGTATAGTTTTTAAGTGTTTTAAAATGTAATATTATGATAGTGATGGCATGGTACTGGATTGTCCCAAGTAGTCAGAAATGATTTTAAAGCAAAATCTTTAATATTACTTTGAGTGAGATGATCCTTATCTGCTGACTCCACCTAGAGAGGAAGCGTGGCTTGAAGCAGTGGCACACAGCTGTCATCCCCAGCAGCATGAAATGCTAGTAGGAGGATCACATAACCTATTCAGGCATAAACTGAGGCCTTACTTGGAAAATAACTGAGGCTAAGGAGTAGAGTACCTGTCGAGCAAATTTTGAGGTCTTGGGTTCTTCAGTACTGTTTAGACAGATACAGACAGGTAGAAGTAATTCTGGTTATAAAATAGAGGGTCAAACATTTTAGAATTTACACCTTTTTTATTGGGGGGGGATGTCCTGTCTACCAATCAGTGTTCATACTTATGTAATGCCTCTGGGCATTAGGAATTGAAAGAGGTCTTGAAACCCTGTACTTGTTTTGTTTTCACTTACTGTTTGCTTCCAGTAGATGGCACCAAATACTCTGAAGTCCTTCACAGTACTGATGCCTAGCTGCTGGTAGTGGCTAAATGATCATTCTACCAGGAGGAAACAAAAACAGTACATTCTCCAGTCTTAGCCTTTGTTTATATAACTTAATGTCTTCACTTGGAGTTTAAGATTAGACTTGTATTTTTTATTTGCATCTCTGACTCAGATTTCAGCATCCCTCCCCACCTTTTGCTTAAAGTGTGATTTTCAATCAGGGTAATTCTAGAAGCATGGGTCATGAGAATTGAAAGGAGAAAAAGAATAAAGGGATATGATATGCTAAAGATTCATAAGGATGGCTGGAGGTATGCCTCAAGTGGTAGAAAATTTTGAGTTCAAATGTCACTTCTACCCAAAATAAAACATTTGCTTTGCAAATGTTCACAATACAATTTAAGAAAAATTGTTATAATGAAACAAAGTACTTGTAGTAATATCAGATGGGTATTTGCATAGGATTGCATGCATTTCATTGACTTTCATATTTATTTTACAAATTACCTGAAGTAAAAAATACTGTGAAACTGTTCACTCCCCATTCTCATTTCTAATTTCTTCTGTGCATTCATGAAATATTTTGCCTTGAGCATGTGAGTTTAGAGTTCTACTATAGCATTAGCTTTTAGATACAATTTATCATTAATGTGTTTTCTACTTGTCAGAGTGGTTTACTACATGTTTTACTTGGTTCAGTTTATTTAATCTTAATGGATCTGTGAACTATTCAGACAGCTACTTTAAAATTTTCCCAACATAATTACACTTACACCATTTTTTTTTTCACCCTGTGGTCTTTACCTAGGGCTAGAGTGTCAGTGTTTTATGTCTCTATCTGGAAATCTGTTTATCTGCCATGTCTTTGGTACAACTACCAGCTAGAGGTTAGTAGTCTGGTTAGTAGAGTGGGATAGGTTTAAGTTCAATTCCCATTTCTCCATTCCATATGAATGGGGAAGGAAACTCATTTAGCCTCTGATACTGCTTTTACAAAATGTAGATCATTAACATGGCCTGGCCTACCTCATAGGTTTACATGGACAATTAGAAATAATGTAGGTAGGTAGTGGAACTGTGCCTCAGTTTTGAAGGAAAAAGAAACCAGTGCCTAGGCCCTGAGTCCAATATACTGACACAATAAATAATAAAAAAAAAAGTGGGTAAATTATTTGCAATAGAGAGAGCCATTACAATCATATTGGCAGCTGTAATAAGTTTTATTACATGTCCACGCCTTACTAGATGCAATTTTGGGAGCTTGGCTTATCAGTAGCTCTTTCTACTTTTTAAAGCTCACAAGAGCTTTCATTTGAAACAATCTTGATAGTTTGAGGGACTACATAGGTCAGTTTTTTGGTACCATCTCCCCACAGGCAGATAGCATTGTCCACTATTGTGAAAAGGGAGCATTCTGAATGCTTTCATCTAAAATGAAAATGAAAATCCCTAAAAGATGCCAGCTAAAGAATCTTGGGGTTCAGGGGCTGGGAAGGTGGCTCAGTGGTTAAAGCGCTTGCCTTGCATTCCTGAGGCCCTGGGTTCGATTCCTCAGCACCACATAAGCAAAAACAAAAAAGCCGGAAGTGGCGCTGTGGCTCAAGTGGTAGAGTGCTAGCCTTGAGCTGAAGAGCTGAGGGACAGCGCCCAGGCCCAGAGTTCAGGCCCCATGACCAGACCCCCCAAAAAATAAATAAAAATAAAAAAAATAATAAAGAATCTTGGGGTTCAATAGGTTTAAGATTTTTTTTAAACCCTCTCATATGACTGTACTTAGTTCTTACTACCACCTGGGGAGGGGGCAGGGAACTGAGAGCGCCTTTGGAGAGGAATTCAATGTTGCATACTGTAACCCCATTCCTGCACTTTTTGAATCAGAGAAAACACTGGGCAGATGCATTTAAGACCCGCCCTGCTTCTCCCTTCCTGCCCCCCAGCCACGTGGCGCTTGTCGGAGTCTGGCCACTGGCCACTTTGCAGGCTCGGCTCCCTGATCTGGAGGAAGCTCGGCTGGGCATTAGACCAAGGCAAGGCTTCTGCCCCAAGCAGACGGTGCGAGGGGCCAACCATCCATCCATTCAAGGGGTGCATGGCGAGTACCTAAAGTTTTCCCTGGAGACAGGTCTGGCAACAGGTCCGAAGCAAGGCCAGGTGAAGCCTAGCTCCGTGACAGCCAGTGGATCTGCGCTGCCCAGCCAGTGCTGGACATGGGAAGGAGAAGCCGGGCTGCGGACCACTAGTCACTCCGGGGTCCCGGGGCCTAGAGGAAGGTGACATCATCGTAGCTGACAGCGTAGTTTCCAAAGGCTTCACCAATAGGACGCGGGCGAGGTGGCTTGCCTTCTACAGCTCTTGGCCAATGTTAACAAAGCAAAAGGGGGCCCGGTTTTCGGTATAGAACCAATAGAAAACGGAAGAAGCACGAGGCGGAGTTGCCAATTGTGTCACCAATTGGGGAGAGAGGGTGGAGCCCGGGCCTTGTCAAGTGTGGCCAACCAGGGAGAGGAGCGGACTTTGGGGGTGGAGCCATGGAGCCCCCGCCCAATCGCACAAGGGTAGGGGCGGGGCATCCCCGGGGGTACCCAATGAGGGACGCTGCCAGAGCAGGCCTGTCAAGAGAAGGGGCTGGGGGCGGGGGGACGGTGAGTCGGGGATAAACACTCGGCGGCGGTGGCGGCGGCTGCTCTGCTCGGGGTTCTGTCACGGTGTTGGCAGTGCCCGGCTCTCCGGCCCCCTCCCCCTCTCCCGCCCGGCGAGGGTGGTCACCGGAGAGGCTCCTCTGCCTTGCTCAGCGGAGCGGGTCTACGGAGGGGCGCGGGTGTCCGGCGGCGGCAGTGAGCCAGTGGGCAGTGGGGGTTGGTCCCGTGGCTCCGGCCCCCGGTGCAGAATGGCGGCGGCGGTTCGAATGAACATCCAGATGCTACTGGAGGCGGCCGACTATCTGGAGCGGCGGGAGAGAGGTGCACGGGGATGGAGGAGGGTCTGGTCCAAGCCCGGGCGGGGGGTGGGTGCTGAGGGGTCCAGCCGTGGGGTCGGGCGCCTCGCCTGGGCGAGGGTGGTTGGAGGCACGGAGAGCGCGACCGCGAGCGCTCCCAACCCCTCCGGCTCTCCCCACGCGCGCTCCGAAAGGAGGCCGCCACTGCCCCCAAAAGCTGTGAGTGGGGGTGAGAGAGGGGCCGCTGTCCCTGTCCCGAGCGCTGCCGCCTCCTCATGCCCCCGCGACTAGGGGGCCGGGGACCTCGCCGTCCGCCCCCTCGGGTTTGCCTCACCTGAGCCCGGTTCCCTGGGCGGAGCACCAGGGTCTCCCCAGACCGGGCCCGCCGCGTCTGCCCCACACCCCCACCTTCACCGGGAGACTGGTCCCCACTGGACCCACCAACCTGCGGGACGTTGCCGCTGGGAGACCCCAGGCCGGGCGAGCGCAGCCACTGCCTGTGTCTTTCCCAACAATGAGCAGCTGGAATCTTCCTTACACCTGCTCCGAACTGAGGGCATTCACACAATTAAAAACAAAACAAAAAGAAGAAGAAAACCCAACATCATTGTTCTCAGAATTCAACCTTACTCTGTTACTGAGTTATTTTCTACAATGTTCATGTAAAGATAAAGAAATGAAAAAAAATGAAACACTGGGTTGGGGAGAGAGTATTAAATGTTCTAGACTCATTCATTAACTGGATCCTCCGGTTTTCTAGAAGCTGAGCATGGTTATGCCTCCATGTTACCATACAATAACAAGGACAGAGGTGCCTTAAAACGGAGGAACAAATCTAAGAAGAACAACAGCAGTAGCAGGTAATTTGGTAAATATTCCTCCTTCCCTTTTAGATTATGCTGTAAGGTAACAAATGGAAGGTTGAGGGTTGTCTATTTGGATCATAACCTGGTAAATACATTAAATACATTAAGTAGTGAACATGCACACATGGTCGTATGCCATGAAAGGAAGCAGCTCCTCTGTTAAAGTTGAGGGGACTGAACAGAACAAGGAAATATGAATATCTAAATCTTTTTTAAAATGAACTTAAAAAATTGTTTTTTGGTCCCTTCTGGAAAAGAAAAAGGAAGTTTCAAATGATATTAGCAATAGGGACAGTATTTTTCCCCTTCGTTTGTTGTAGATTCTGGGCAAAAGTATCTGACTTGGCATAAATACTAAGATTTTATTTTGACATGAAAAATCAAACAGTTGTTTGATCATCTAATTTGTCCTATCTATTAATAATGGTAAAGGGGATAGAGGTTAAGATCTTCCTCTCAGTTGATGGAGCAACATTTAATATTAAGTTATTAGTATGCTATAAAACTTTTTCATATTAGCCTAATAGATTGACATATAATTCTTTAAAGCTGTGAATCTCACTGGAGAATATTTGGCCAGTGGTCAGAGAAATCACATATTAACATTCTAAGCATAATTTGTGGTATTGTACATTGTCCCTCTCCTTGCCCTGAAAATATTAGTTGGCTAGGCAATCTTATTTTACTAAATCTACTCAATTATTCCTTTCATATCAGTAAATTAAAATTTTTGATTTTTTCATTATTGACTTAGAATCCAAATCTTCCCCTCACCAAGTAACTATATGGGTTGCCACTGTGGCTTAATACAAACTGACCATTAAACACCAGGAAATTCCCACTTAAATGTAAAAGTCACTCATTCTTGGTATATATTTTGTCCTTGGCTCACCCCATGGTCCTTAGTGTTATGGAATCACAGGATGTGAGTAGCATGCTTTGGGCTGCACTCTTGACTAAGAAGACATATAAAGGTGAACCTGGTAATTATCTGGTAGATTTTCCTTGTCCTACCATCTTGACATCACCTGAAGGTGGTAGCCAGTAGTTCCATGCATGGGTACAAAGGCCCTTTAAGAAAGATAGTAATACTAATTTGTATCATGTAATAGTATCAAAACAAGCTGAGTTGCATTTTGTCACAGTATTTTTAACTATTTGCTTAGAAAAACTTTGAGGCCTTTCATTTTGTTTTTCATTTTGTTTGCTTTTATTTTTGGCAACACATGATTTGAGAAGAATCAGCCTTGTTAGTAATGTAGGCTTAGTATCTTGAAACTTTTTTTCCCTGAGTTCATAGGAAGGTTGGGTATGTGTGTGGGAGATACTCTGTAGTGGGAGTGAAAAGGGTGATGAACAGAACTCATCTAATCACTGTGTGTCGTGTGTGTGTGTGTGTGTGTGTGTGTGTGTGTGTGTGCGCGTGTGCGTGTGCGCGCGCTGGGGCTTGAACCCAGGGCCTGAGTGCTGTCCCTGAGCTGTTTTGCTCAAGGCTAGCACTACGAGTAGTTGAGCCACACTTCTACTTCTGGCTTTTTGGAGATTAATTGGAGAGCTTCACAGACTTTTTCTAACAAAGCTGGCTTTGAACAGGATCCGCAGATCACAACCTCCTGAGTAGCTTTGCCTGATGAGTAAGAGGGAGTACATTTTCCCTTGGACAGTTAAAAAAAAAAAGGTTTAGCAGTGGTATTAAACTTCTTGGGAAGTGAAAATGCAGTTTATTTTAAAACTCCAAAAGAACAAAAAATATCAACAAAAACAAATATTGGATCATCTAGAGAGACAATAGTATATAGAAAGGCTATTTTCTAATTGCTGCTGATTTTTAAAATCAATAATTATTTAAAATTGAAATATAGAGATTTGTTTTCTTCATTTATGTCTTCCTTAATTTCCTTGCTTATATTTAAGAGACAAGGTCTTATCCAGGCTAATCATCCTTTTGCCTCAGCCACTCAAGTAGCTGGAACTGCAGGCATGTGTATTTTCTTACATTAGTAAAGCAGGCTCTAACATGTAAAAGAGGAAGTTCAAGACTTGACCATCAAGTTCTTGTATCCCACAGTGGCTATATAAGTAACCCGACGTGAGGAGTGTTTTGTTTTGTTTTTTAACCTAAGGACTTTCCCTATTTCCCAGATATACTTATGGTTTAGGTTTGTTTTTTTTTAACAACTTTTTTTTTCAGTCATGAGGCTTGAATCCAAGGTCTAGATGCTGTCCCTGAGCTTTTTTTGCTCAAGATTAGCATTCTACCACTTTGAGCCTCAGCTCTACTTGGTGGTTAACTGGAAATAAGAGTCTCACTAGACATTCCTGCCCAGGCTTGCTTCAAGCCATGATCCTCAGATATCAGCCTCCTGAGTAGCTAGGATTACAGGCATGAGCCACTGGCATCTGGCTAGAATTTACTTTTAAATGGTGAAATTACCAAATCTTCAATAATCACATGAAAAATTGTGTGATACAGTGTATGTATATGTATATATACATTATTTGTAATATATTCACACTATATACAACATATACAATATATAATATTATATATGTGTATGTATGTATGTGTGTATATATATGTATATGTATGTATGTATGTATGTATGTATGTATGTATGTATGTTTGTGTGTGCCTCTACTGAGTCTTGAACTTAGAGCCTCACAGTTTTGCTTAGCTTTTCCAGTCAAAGCTGGTACTCTCTCATTTTAGCCACACTTCCACTTCTAGCTTTCTGGTGGTTAATTGGAAAAAAGTGTCTCTCAGATTTGTCTGTATGAGCTGACTTTAAACAAGATCCTCAGATCTCAGTTTCCTGAGTAGCTAGGATTACAGGCATGAGCCATTGGCACTTAGCAAGCTATATATTTTTATACTGCCTTAACCTTTGACCTAATCACTGTAAAATGGTCTGCTTTTTTTCATTTATGACTAATTCCATTTTTAAAAAAAATCAAACCTAGTACACTTTAGTAATGTTCTGTTAGATAAAAGACTCCCTTTAAAAACATCATGTTGGAGCTGGGAAGGTGGCTCAGTGGTAGAGCGCTTGCCTTGCATCCCCGAGGCCCTGGGTTCGATTCCTCAGCACCATATAAGCAAAAACAAAAAAGCCGGAAGTGGTGCTATGGCTCAAGTGGTAGAGCACTGGCCTTGAGCTGAAGAGCTGAGGGACAGCACCCAGGCCCAGAGTTCAGGCCCCACGACCGGACCAAAAATAAATAAATAAATAAAAACATTATGTTGCCGGTGCTGGTGGCTCATGCCTATCATCCTAGCTACTTAGCTGAGGATCACAGTTCGAAGTCAGTCCGGGCAGACTTTTATCTCCAATAAACCACTCAGAAAACCAGAAGTGGTGCTGTGGCTCAAGTGGTAGAGCCAGCCTTTAGCTGAAGAGTTAGCCCAAGCCCCATGACTGGCAAAAAAAAAAAAAAAAACACAAAACCATCATGTCTTCAACATTCTTAAGTAATCAGATAAAATCTGTGGTTTCTAAAAGTTGAAAGTTTGGAAAATCTTGCGCTTCCTGTGGAATTTGTGGAGAAGTTTATCTTGGAAATTCAGAAGCTTATAGAAATACAACTCTTGATTAGTCTACTTCTCTAAAAACTCTGGACATACTTTAGTACGAGCAACCTGTGTGCTCTTGTTTTCACCTAAGTACCTTTCTATCCTACTACTACCAGAGATGGTTTTTTTGTCTGCTTAAGTAGGGAAATCTTGACCAGCTGTAGTCCATATACTTTCATCTATTTTTTTAAAAGAGCTGTCAGACTTTAAACTTATTATTCCCATTTAAAAGTAAAATGCCACATGCTTTGAGAAGAGTCAAAGATTTGTAATACATTGTTAACTTTGGTATCTGCTGGCCATTGAAGGAAATAAATCCTCTGAATGATGTTCTTCAGGCTTATAGATATAACCAAGTAAATCAACTGAAAACTTCTTTTGTGTGTGGCCTGACCTGGGACTTGAACTCAAGGCCTGGAGCTGTCCCAGGGCTTTTTTGCTCAAGACTAACCCTCTACCACTTGAGCCAACAGCTTCACTCTCAGCTTTTTTGATGGTTCATTAGAGATGAGTCTCATAGACATTATTGCTCTAGCTGGCTTTGAACCATGATCCTCAGATCTCAGACTCCTGAGTAGCAGTAGTATTACAAGTGTAAGCCACCTGACTTCAACTGAAAACTTTTTAAGTTAGCCAATTTAGAGGTCAATATATCATTTACCTAGAAAACAAATATTCTAAAACTTCAAATACTGTCATTATTTGGTCATTTGTTTTTCTGAATGAATAAAATTTCTCTGGGGAGGGGTTCTTGTAAAAGAAAAATTTTAATGCTGGGCTACACATTTCCTACTTAAAGATATTCCTCTGCCCCTGCACAAACATACTTCCTAATATCCCTTGTATGTGATGTAAGTGAATTTGGTGGTGGTGGTGCCAGTGATGCAAATGTGTGGCTGACAATTCACAGGGTAATACTCCTCCCAGACAGCTATGAGAACTTATCTCCTAGGCCTAGTAAGTACTGATTATGCCCCCACTGAATTCATTATCTGAGCTGGGGAGTAAACTCCTAAGCTGATTAGAATTCCCATAAGGAAGGTCAAGATTCAGTTCCTTTATAAGGCAGGGAAGTTCCTTAAGCTCTTAACCTGTTCAGGAGTGGGAGGGTTGTCTGAGAAGGACATTGAAGGGGCCACATTGACTGACTCCTTGTGACTCTGTGGACAGCTGTCCATAAAGTCTTAGACCAGACCTATCTTCAAGATCAGCCATAAACACACTAATAATATGATTTCACCTCCACTGCACCTTTGATGCAAGGCTCTCTACTCACTTTTACAGTTGCTACTTCATTGATCCATGCCTGTTCAGTAGATTATTGGTAATTATTTTTATTCCTGTTTTACACAGAGGTTAACCAAAGACAGGACTGTAAAGAAAAAAGAAAAAGAAAATATTTATTCCTGTAGTACCAACCAGGAGTAGCAAAGCTGAACATCAGTTTTCACAAACCCAGCTTCTGCTTTAACCAGCCTATTGCCATTATGTGGAGCTAAGTTTTGGAAACTTCTTCCTAAAATTATTTGATAGGTATTTAGCAGTAGCATTTTTCAGGGGTTGGATATAAGACAGTGACTTGAAAGATTAGGGAGGGAAGTTATTTTATCCTTTAAAGCTATACACTGTAGCCAGGTGCCAGTAGCTCATGCCTGTAATTACTAATTCTAATTACTCAGGAGGCTGAGATGGAGGATCATGTTCAAAGCCAGCACAGGCAGGCAGGAAGTATGTGAGACTCCTATCTCCAATATGCTATTCAGAAAAAGCCAGAAGTAGTGCTGTGGCTCAAGTGGTAGTGTACCATCCTTGAGCAAAAGAAGCTCCAGAGACAGCACTCATATCCTGAGTTCAAGCCCCAGGACTGGTACCAAATAAATTTTTTAAAACACCCTTTATGCTATAGTTAAATAAGTATAAAGTAAAAAGCAAAATAAAACTATACACTGTAATTAAGTAACTTACCAAGTTTTGGTACATGCTTCTCCTAGAAAAAAAAACTACCAAGGCTGGACAAGGGTACCACCTCCACTGTGTTACTGCTAGTCTAAAGAAAGCTTTGTGGTATTATATAACCAAAATTCACATTGCATTGTGCAGCTGTTTTTCTCTTTGTATAAATAGACCCTTTTATTTCCTTTCTTAAAAAAGGATCACTTTTCCACTAGGAAATGCATGGCAGTATGTCACTGCTTCTTGACTCTTACTTCAGATATTTACACTAACCTAAGACTGAATAAGAAGTTAAAATAATGGTGTTGAGACAAAAATAATCTTAATATTTTCTTATTGTTCTCTCTTTCAGATCAACACACAATGAAATGGAGAAGAATAGGTGAGTTAGATTTTGGAGGTGGGGTATGGGGAGTTTTGATGAATTTTCTACTTTACAAAAATACTGTACTGCTCATATATCACTTAGGTAGAGGAAAAGTTTGTGTGTGTGTGTGTGTGTGTGTGTGTGTGTGTGTGTGTCATGGGATCTGTACTCTGGGTCTGGGCGCTGTCCCTCAGCTCTTCAGCTCAAGGCTAGTGCTCTACCACAGCGCCACTTCCGGCTTTTTCTGTTTATGTGGTGCTGAGGTATCAAACTGAGGGCCTCATGCATGCAAGGCAAGCACTCTACCACTGAGCCATCTTCTTAGTCCTAAAATAACTTTTTCTTGTAGAAAATTTTAAGTATATAAAAGTAGAGCAAATAATTTTATCAAGTCCTTTGCTTCCACAATTACTGGCATTTTTGCCTATGGTAGGAATCAAGTTCACCCCTCTCCACTGAGTGTTTAACTCTCACTAATAAATAATATATGTGTGTCTATATGAGAGAGAGTGCGTGTATGGGACTTGAGCTCAGGGCACTGATTATTTTAGGCATGAGCCTGAAATTTACACACAAGCATGCACGCTTGCGCACGCGCACAAACACACACACTCACACTGCCCAGACCTCTCAGCAATTCTGATTTAATTGGTTTGAGCTGAAACTGCACTAGTATTTTCAAGGGCTCCCCAGGTGACTCTCATGTGCAGCTAGAACTGAGAACCATTGAACAAGCCTCATCCTAGTCTCTGAGCTCCCATCAACTTGAAATGGGGGGTACCCATCTAAATTGAATGGCTTCCTCAGTGCCTTGAATGAACAAAAAGGTAATGAGTAATGATGGCACTGTAAATATGTGTAGTTGTGCTGCACAAAACCCTCATTAGAAAAGGAGCTTGACCCTGAAAGTCAGGATCTGGATGATATTTAGTTTATTGGTGAAAGAGCAGTCCAGGCCCTTGGCTGGCAAGAAGGATCTTGGAATTTGTTGTGTGTGATGTTCAGGGTGCCTCTCCACACATGTGCTCCTCCCTCATCCTGCCTTCTTCCTTGGTAATTGCTGTGATTGTGACTGACAGTGTTTTCAGTGGGAGCTTCCTTTGTGCTTTAGGGATTTACATATCATGAGCTAGAAACTCAAAAGCGTCCTCTTCAAATGGGAAGGTGGTCACCTGGGGCCCCTTTCATCTTTAGACTTTCTCCCTTCTTCTTGCCTTCGCAGCAAACTCAGTAAAGTGAGACTGTTTTTTGCTGAAAAGCCTCTACTTCTTCTCATCCTTGAACCATTCATTTAGGTATTTGTGTTATTATTAAAATGTCATCCCTTCAGGCTGGGGGCAATTGCCTAACATGTATAAGGCCCTGGGTTCAGTCCTCATGAAGAAAAACTTTTTTTCCTTATTTCTTCAGGTAAAGGTTCTTAGGCTTACTATAGTTTTGGGGTGTGTGTGTGTGTGTGTGTGTGCGCGCCAATTGGGAGGCTTGAACCCAGGGGCCTAGGCATCCTGGAGCTTCTTTGGCTCAAGGCTAAACACTACCAGGTGAGCCATAGTGCTACTTCCAGCTTTTCCGAGTGGTTTATTGGAGATGAGTCTCACAGACTTTCCTGTCTGCGCTGGCTTCAAACCACACTCCTCAAATCTCAGCCTCTATGTTCTTCCCTTTCTTTTTGGGATTTGTCTTGTAAGGTCTTAATTCTTCATTTGGTTTAGACCAAGAGAAGGAAATGACCCAGTTTACTGCATTTAAACAAGTATTGATTGCTGCATCCCAGAGGCAGAGGTGAACATTTCCGACCCTTTTCCCTTTGGGTCTTGGCGTTTAAACATCTTCTGTTATAGCCTGACTGGCTCTGTAGCTGACTCCTACAGAGAATACCTCTGTGTCAGAGTGGCACTTCAGCCAACTTTTGCCTTACTACGTGACATAAAAATAGGTTACCAGTTTCTCTCAACAAAGCCAACTCAGGTAAATGAATTCTAAACTGGTTATATTTTTGTCTTTGGTATTACAAAGTTGATTTCACATGGGTGATTTTAGACAAAACCCTTTTCCTGTGCCACCTTACTAATTCAGAACAGTGTTATTGTAGGGAATGGGGACTCTACTATGAGACATGGTATTGCCATGGTTAGCTTCCTTGACATTGGAGGGAAGATGAAAGAAAAGCCATGTAAAACTGGGGTTTGGTGAACACCGCAGATGCACTATAGTAGGTATGGGGGGTACAGAGTCCAAAGAGTCTCAGCCCTTGCTATCCAACATCATAATTATTTCCATAAGGTAAATTTATAGCTGTGGAATTAAATATGTATAGATTTTTATGATGGTTGGTGTGGATTGCAAGGCGGCCCACCAGGCAGGTTGCATATGGTATTTTCCTTATACTTTCTTCTAATAGTTTGATAAGCAAAAAGTAATAACAAAAATTCACATAAGGTACTTATTTTAATTTGCATTTCATTTTCTTTTTTCTTTTCTTTCGCTTTTTTTTTGGCGGGGGCGGGTAGAGGGCTGGTACTGGGGCTTTAATTCAGGGTCTGGGTGCTGTCCTTTAGCTTTTTAAACTCAAGGCTGACATTGTTCCACTTGACCCATGGTTCCACTTCTGGCTAATTAGTAGTTAATTGGAGATTAACCATTAAAAAGAGCTTCACAGACTTTCCTTCCTGTACTGGCTTTAAACCAAAATCATCAGATCTCAGACTCTTGAGTAGCTAGGATTATAGGCGTGAGCCACCAGCACACAAATGCTTTCTTATATTACTGGCACAACTGAACAGTTTTCATGGGTGTGTACACGTGTCTGTATTTCCTGTTAAATAGCCTTTGTACAAGTTTCTACTAAGGACTTTACCTTTTTCTTAAAAAACAAATTCCATAATATAAAGGATATGTATAAAAGATATTACCCCCCTCTCTATCACGTGATTGTCCAGCTTATCATCTACCTTCAGGAAGTCAGCTCTCATTGACTGAAGTCACTGCCTCTGTTTATGGCTAAGTCTGTTTCTAGACTTAGGTTTTATAATCCATTAGCCCATTGGTTCTTTCTATGCCTGTTTATAATGTTTGAATCATTGAGGTTTTAGCATGCAGTTCAGGATCTGGTAAAGCACATCTGTGCTCTTCTTCCTTCCTTTTTTTTTTTTTTTTTTGCTATTAGCTATTTTCAGCAGTTATTTTTCTGACAATTTTTTCCTTGAACTCAGGGCCCTATACTTGCTAGACTGGTGCACTACAACTTGAACCACATTCTTTTTGCTTTTGATTTATTTTTTAAGTTCTCATGTTTTTGCCCAGGTTGGCCTCAGACCACAATCCCATGTAACTGGGTTTACAGGTGTGAACCACCATACCTGCTTTATTTGTTGGGATGAGGGAAGTCTCACTAATTTTTTTGCCTGAGCTGGCCTCAAATTGCTATTCCCCTTATGTCTTTCCCCTGGGTATATGGGATTACAAGTGCAAGCTATGGTACCTAGCTTTTCTGACAATTTTTTAATCAGCCTATCAATTCCTTATCCCTTGATTTCTTTTTTTTTTAAATAAAAATAGGATAATTCCAGTATAATTTTTTTCAGCACTGGAGCTTGAACTGAGGGCTTTTGGGGCAAGCACTATGCCACTTAAGCCATGCCTGTAGCCCCAACATAAATTAATATTACACATGAGGTATTTCCATCCAGGATTTATTATGTATATTAACTTATGAAGGCCTCTCTTCTGTCTCTAAAATTTTGAATTTTGTAGTGTTTCAATATAAGTTTTGCACATCTCTTACCAAAGATATCCCAGGTTTATGTAACTTTATATTATTGGCTTTTGTTGTTGCTTTACCAGTCCTGGGGGTTGGACTCAGGGGCCTGAGCTCATCACTGAGCCTCTTCATGTTCCAGGCTACTACTACTCTATCATTTGAGCCACAACACCACTTCTGGCTTTTTTCTGAGTAGTTTATTGGAGTCTCACAGACTTTGTCCCAAGCTGGCTTTGAACCATAATCCTCAGATCTCCTGAATAGCTAGGATTACAGGTATAGGCCACTGGCACTAGCTACGATTACTTTTTGTAATAGTTAATTGATTATTGTTAGACTATAGGAAATTTTTTACGCCTTTGCCATTATGTGTTCTTTATTGATAATAATTCTGCTGCATTTTCCTCTTTGTTGAGAATTACACTGGTTTAACTGCTTTTCAATGAAGTTACAGCAAATACAAACTGGGCTGCAGCCGATAGTCAGCAGTCAGAATGAACTCTTCCAAAAGAAGATTCTAGTATCTCCTTTAATAGTAGAGATGCCCCCTTTTTTTTTTTTTTTTCTGGAATGGCAATGTGCAGGCCTTTCTGGAATCAGGCAGCTGCTCTAGAGAGATCACCTCTGTCAGAGTCTTTTGACCCTATGACAAAAGATTTGTGTTTGTGTTCTGTGGGAAGACTCAGTGCCTGGTCTAAACTGGTGTTTCCATTTGGTCAAGCAGGATTTCAGTGGCATCTCATCTGTATGAGAAAGGATTTCAATAGGACTCTTATTACTTATTTTTGGCCAGTCCTGGAGCTTGAACTCAGGGCCTAGGCGCTGTCCCTGAGCTTCTTTTGCTCAAGGCTAGCACTCTTCCACTTGAGCCCTAGCACCACTTCCAGCATTTTCTGTTTATGTGGTACTGAGGAATCAAACCCAGGGCTTCATGCATGCTAGGCAAGCACTCTACCACTAAGCCACATTCCCAGCCCTCAGTAGGTCTCCTTTGAAAGACTGTTGTAACTAATTGCAGGTTCCTGTAGTTATTTCTGTTGGGGGTTTTTACGTTGCAAATGAGCAAGCTCTTTATATTGGACCGGCTGTGGTATACATTGCACCACTCTGACAGCTGTTTGTCTGGGACAGCACTCAGGCCCTAAGTTCAAGTCTCACTACCAGCACCAAAAAAAATAGTCAAAGGGTGGTATAGAACTAGCAAGTATAGCCGGGCGCTGGTGGCTCACGCCTGTAATCCTAGCTACTCAGGAGG